ACGACTACTACTACTAGTACGACGTACCGTTACCGTTTACGTTTTGTTTCGTTACTACGTTACTACTACTACGTTTACTTTTACGTTTACTTACGTCGTCTCTCTCTCTCTCTCTCCTCTCTCTCTCTCTCTCTCTCTCTCTCTCTCTCTCTCTCTCATCCTTCTTCCCCAGTTCTTTATGCCACATCACACGTCTTTTCCATTTTCTCTCTCCCGACCCTTATTTGTTCCTCGTCTCATGTGCCTTCCCATCTCTCTCTATTCCAATCCATTTTTTGTCTCGTCCACGTCCCCCCTTTTTGGTCTACATTTTCATTTTCTCATCCTTGGCTACTTGTTACTGAGCATATTTTAGGAGAGGTGTTGAGCACCTCGATTATAGGGTGCCACGCTCCTAGGCGTTTTCGGTGTGCTGAGCACCTGGTCTGAAGGATGCCACACAAACTTTTGATATCTTAATGTTTGAGCACTAGACTTGTGGGTTGCTGAACCTTTTTTGGCCTCTATTTTGTTTCATACAGAGCACCCAGATGTGGGATCTGGGATGCCTAAGACTCACTTCTCATGAGGAATTTCTGTGTGTCATATACATCAGTAATATTTTTTGAACAATTTCAAAAAAAATGCCCAGTTTGCATGTCACTCATTCAGTAAAACATATTACGCTACAAAAAAATACGAGGAAGGAATCACTCATACAACACAGCTATTACACAGGATGTCTCAATATTCCAAACCTTCATGCACAATATAATTTAATTTCTGCCCAATAAAAAACTTGAAATTGTCACCCTGAAGATAATAGAATAAAGAAAATAACAAGAATTATTCCCATAACAATAACACGAGCATTGACAAATATAAATAAATAACTAACAAGCACCATGAGCGAACCAGGGTAAAAAAGTAGTGCAATAGTTATATTCCAGAAACTATGAGAGAAAAATAAAAAGGTTACAAATGAGAAGAACTTTGTTTTAAGGGGATAACACATACTGCACATTGGTAGATAGTGGAAGTGTAGAATATCCCACAATCACCTGCATGCAAAACCAAGTAGGTTCCAGCTTCACTCAGCTTGTACATAAGAATTGCCATTTAGAATCAAGAAATGACAACATCAAGGAAGAATGAGACTAAAAGATTCACAACGTTCAACACATCAAGATCAAGCATGGGTCTGAGTACCACAGAACAAGTCAAGCACACACACACATGCACAACACACATCATTATTTTCACTATCATCATCGTATTCAAAATATAAATAGCTCAAATTAGAAGAACATGCAGCAAAACTAGTTGTAAAGATCACTGTATTATGTACAGCCTTATCAAAACAAATTCAATAATTAGATTTCTTTGAGAAAATTTCAATAAATAGATCACTCAAACAGGATGAGAAACTGCAACAAAGAAGCATAGATTGTTCACAATGAAACAAAACAGAAGCAAATATCATTATACCAATTATCAAAACAAGCAACAACATATCATAATAAATTAGGGTGTGGGTGTGTCCACGGCCTGCACATGCACCCAAACAAGTTGCAGAGTAATGCATTCAATCCCAATAAAATGTTGCAAAGATATCACACCCATTAAAATGGGTTAAAGCTAACATATTGCAACTGTCAAACCACAGAATGCTTAAAGACACCAGCATGGACATCTATTCAAAAGTATGGATCTAATTTACCAGTATTTACATATTTTCAGCATTATAATGTCATTTTTATCAATTTCTGATGCAAACCACAATGTTAAAAAATAAAATAACAAATAATTTTGCTTTAGAAGAGAGTTGAAAAATAATTTTGGCCCTTATTGCAATCTCTAGAAACTCTCATGGATGAACCTGTTATTTTAGGTGGTAGGACTTCCTTGGGTGGCCTTGGTTTTGAAAATTCATGCCATCAAGTTCTTTAATTTCAACTTGGATAACTAAAAAACTAATTATCCAAAAATAAATAAAAAATCTTATGCTTAAGGTCATACGATACATAAATTGGAACAAAAGCACGAACCCATACGATACATAAATTGGAACAAAAGCACGAACCATGACAATATCACCTCCACAATCCCCTTATGCATGATGCACCCACTAAAATGTGAAGCTAAATGCTACCTCTTTGTGAAAATCTTGCCAGCCATGACCCACTTGAATAACCCCTTTTATCTGAGGTCTCTAAAGCTAGCCCTCACAGGAATCTGGGCTGGGCCAAGTGTGGGAGGCATCCTTAGAGATACCAAAGGTAAGACAGTGATTTCCATCTCTAAGGTGCATGTGAATCCTTTCTAGAGGAAGTGACAGCTCTCCTTACTAGTCTAAAGTTAAGCCCCAGTGGAACAAATGCCTTTGGGAAAGTAGAGAACCTCAATGTTATTAGATGCCATGAAGGAGATACCATCCAGGATATCTTCTGAGGATCTTTTATGATTTTTTAATTATGCCTCTCCTGATGTGTTTTATTTATGCCTCTTGATGTAATTCTTTACCGGATGTTTAGGAAGGCTAGCAAAGCAGTGGATGCCCTTGCTAATAACAGAGTTATTTGATTCTTTCTTGCAGAGAGGGGTGCACATTAAATGAATAATATCCAAAACTATGACCATTGTTCAAAAAAACAGATTTGGGTGCCTAGGCAGTTTGGGTGCTTGGCCGCCTAGGTGGACGAACCACCGCCCCCCAAACCAACCCAACCCAATTGTACGACACTAACTATTACTTTACAATAAAACTTAAATGAATATCTGAATATATAAGACATTTAAGACTTTAGTTTCACTTTCACATAAGAATTAACCCAAGATATCACATAATTAATTGTTTATCAAATAAACTAAAACAAAAATAATAGATTATCAAAATAATACACATTGTACAAAAAATAAATCAATTATCATAAAAGAATACGATATATGCTCAATTTCATTGTCCAAGCGAGAAAAAACTCAATAAATCACCAAAAAAATCAATCTTTTAACTACAAACATGTAAATATATCGTAAAAAAAAAAAAGTAAAAAAAAAACATATAGATTCATAACATAATATGTTGTAGCAAAATAAAATAAAAACCCTCTTTCAAATATGATAATACTTTAAAAATATCCAAATCAAATCAATGTCATTACAACCCTCGTCCATTGGGTCGTTAAAATTTCTGAAAATCAATTGTTAGAAGCTCCAAATCCACCCACGAACTATTGCCTTCGTTTTGGGAAGAAATCGAAAGAATAAAAAATTTATTGATCTTTCGATAAATCACATAGGAGTGGTTTTTTAGAGGTTTTTCTCACCCTAAAGGCCATGGATTTTCTATTGGGGTTTAAAATACCCCCTAAAACCCTCTTACCGCCTTTTTAGGGGGGGAAAATGACATATTTTACCATCATCCGAGGGGTCACAGGGCTGCGCCTAGGCAGGTGCCCAGACAATAGCGCCTAGGCGGCGCCTTGACAACCTAGGCGGCCACCCAGAAGCAAAAATGCATAATGCCCCCGCCCAGATTGCACCTAGGCGTTTTTAAAAAAAATTTGCCTAGGCGGCCAGCCGGCCAAATTTCGAACATTGACTATGAACTTAGACTCTTACTGAGCTCAAGTCGATTAACAAGTTTTTCACCTTTGAACAGAAGCTAGAGAATTTGAAACAAGTTCATGAAGTTCCAAAAAATTCTGGAAGCACTGTTCTCGTCTCTGTAAGAGATGACTCCATACCACTATTGCTTGCACAAAGATGCCTCATTCAGTGCATACTTCAGCAATCGGTGAAAGGAATTGAATAGAAAGAAAACACAGTTCTAGAATGGATGCCATAAGTACCCATAAGCAGCCAACCAAAAGTCATAAATCTAATTAGAAACAAACAATTAAAAGACTTTCAGCACAGGACTGCATATACAAGACAAGACGGAGAAACAGGGAGCAAAGCTTCTCACGAAAGAGGTTAAAGTTAAAGCATAACTAACCGGCTTTGGAGCTTCAAGCTTTGTTTGAAGATCAACGTGAAAGAAAGTGAACAACAAATGTTGTTGGGGGGTAAAAATGGCAGGGAGACAAATCTTGATCTCATCATGGTAACATGCCATCCTGGCACCAACAGCAACTTGGGTGTGAGCCCATTTCTGAAGTGGTTCGCCAAACTCTCTTGTGTACATTACCTGTTTGAAAAAGTGTTAGTGATATGAGTTAAAACATATTCTAAATGAGCTGCCAAGAATTTTAAATGTAAGTACTAATGAATAATCCATCACCTCTAATGGTTGCTTACGAATTTCAGTATCATCGTTTCGCAGTTCCACCCTTATAAACAAATTCCTCTTACGGCTCAAATTAACCATTAAAGGGCATACATAAAGGCAGTGTAGAAGGTGAATGAAAGGCTCACTTTTTGTGGATGCTCGAAAGTCAAAAGCAAGGAACTGTCAAAAAAAAATATGTATGTAATATTCGAATATGAATGAAGAAAGCACTAAAAATCTTTATGATATATATATATATATCAAACTTCAAGGTTTTTTCATTAGTGATGAATGGAAATGATGATTGGAAACCTCGAGTTAAACAGGCATGCTCAACTTACATCATCAAGGCTGCATTCAGGATAATTTCCAAGAACAACATTGGACCCATTCCTCTGCATGTCTTTTCCATCGGATGAATACCACTTTGGATTACCATTCTGAGGTCCCTCAGACCCATTACTTAAGCCTCTTGTGAATGATGCTTCCACAAACCGATCACCAACATCAGTTGTATCATTGTTTATGCTGCCACTTTCTGAAATTCCATCAAGTTCAAATTGCCCCAACTGAAGCTTTTCCACTTCTAACCTCAGTATACCTTTTACTTGTTTATGAACCTTCCGTTTAGGATCCTTAACAAAACGAAAGGAAGAATTGGTAGAATCAGTATAATGTTAATAAATAGTATAGGCAGATAGAATACAACACTGAGTGAACATTAAAAGATTATGATCGCATTTAAGCACAAAATCAGAACCAATAGTCCAGTGGATCACAACCCTAGAGCAATTATGAATACACCATACTGAAAATATCAAGCAAGAAGAAAACAGGAACAAAACAACAGATCTAGAATAACCAAAACAAAGAAAGAACTCCAAACAGACAGCAATGTCAATAATTTGAAATATTGCAGATCGGAATTTAGGCAGAGTTACTTGAACCAGACCAGTCACGCGGTCCCTAGAATGGACATCAAACCCGTCAAGAACAGAGGACCGGCAGGTCCAGCAACTGGGTCCACCAATTCATGACCAAACCAGCTTGTCCCGATAAGGTCAAGAAAAAAAGGGAAAAAACTGCCCCTACATTTTTGGGTTTTGGGGTCTTTTGTTGCTTTTTGGATACTGTTCCATCATTTAAAATTCAGGTAGGGGCCTTTTGGTCCTATGACTATAATTGGTGAGTTTTGGGGTTTTAAAAACCACCTTGTAAAGAGAGAGAGCTCCTTTGGTGACTTTTGCTCTCTCACTCTACTCAAAAAAACCCAATCCTTTGGCAAATTTTAGGCAACTTCCAGGAAGGGTTCCGGCCATCAATATGCCTGATTTGAAGCCCCAAGTAAATTTACAACACTATTTCCTTTTTTTGTTTTATATTTAAAAAAAAAAGACAACTTCAGATTTTCAGAGTTCTTGCAAGAAGCAATTTTTTTTTTTTTCAAAACATGCAATATATTGTTTCTTGTATTCTATTTAGTGGTTTTTTTGGCATTATCAAGTTAGTTGTTCAATGTTTTGGAAGCTTCCATGTATTTTTTAAATAAATATTAGGTTTTTATTTAGGTTTTGTAATTTCATTTGGTAGTGCCTCTTGAAATCCTCTTCATACTATTTGATGTGGTGTACACTGTAGTGTATTTTGCTGCATCACATGTAGGTTTCACTCTCTACCTCCCACATTCATTTCAATTACTATTTTCCCATATTTCCATAATCATCTCTGCCCTACACCATGCCTCCTGAGTCCTCTCGCTCACTCTTAGAGGCGTGAACCCTGAATCAACTCATTTTCCTAGAGACTCTCCACCCTGTCATCCACTTCATGCAATATTATTCCCATCTACAGGGTGACTCCAAATTCTGCACAGCTGCCAGTTTAGTTCAGAACTGAGGACCACACCCTCATGCCAAAATCCCAAAACAGAAAGGGCACACCAACAATTTTCCACCAACCCAGACCGATTGATTTAATGTCTTTCATATTATCTGACTCCTTCCCTCTGGAGACAGCTATCCGAACTCTACACAAGTCCACAATCACTCGCTCCAGAAGATGCCATTCCCTTTCTCTGTGGATAGCTCCCCACCTCCACAACATACAACTCCACAAGTGCTGACATGATCTCACAGTAGAGTGGGAAACAGGAAGGTTCTGGTTTGCATGACGGGATTTGCAATCATCCTAGCCTGGTTAATTAAAGACTTGAACCCCTCACATTGGAAAGACTTCATCTTACACCGATTGGAGAACTTCTAAATTTCCAACATTGCTGACTCCACAGAACACCCTCCTTGGACCCATGTCTAAAAAGGTAGGATCTATCACATTTCCCACATGAAAATATAGTTCATAGGATTTGTAGAATGAGAGGCCCTACCCACAGGGAACAATTCTCTGGTCAATAATAAGCATTCTCAACCATTACCTATCAAAGAGGAAAATTCCTTGTATATTAGGGAGTCATATGTCTTTTCATCAGGTACAGTAAAAAGGTAGGATCTATCACATTTCCCACATGAAAATATAGTTCATAGGATTTGTAGAATGAGAGGCCCTACCCACAGGGAACAATTCTCTGGTCAATAATAAGCATTCTCAACCATTACCTATCAAAGAGGAAAATGCCTTGTATATTAGGGAGTCATATGTCTTTTCATCAGGTACAGTGAATAGCAATATTATAGAAGTAGAAAACAAAGCCAGCAAGTTTATATGCAACAGCAGCCAAGATCATGAGCTTCTACACAACACAATGTTCTTGAAAATCAACAGTACAATCCAGTCAAAAAGAGATAACCACAAGCGAGATAATATTCAACCTTTGAATTGGAAACCAAGAAATTAGATTAACATCAAAAAAACAGCCTATTAGCATAGGCTGTTTTTCAGCATACCTGAAGAGAGTCCTCTGTGTAACTTTCCTTGACTTTGTTTAAGTTTGATATCTCGACAATAACAGAACTGCCACTGGAATACTGTCCCAGCCTTCCATCTGAAACGGTTCTTGCAACAGGAGGTTCAACAGCACTGTCCTGTGAACTTGACCCAGATATGCTTGGGGCTAGTGGACTGCTGGGAGAAGCACTACCACCTACACCAGCAATGTTGTTGTTTTCAAACAAGGGAACAATTGCCCAGGCAAAAGATTCTCTATAAGGCATAATCCGAGTCCAAACTTGCAGCTTCTGCTTTTCTCTCTCTGTCAAATGCACCTGCAAATTTAATAAAATTTCATGGATCAATCATTGTGCAGAGCTCGCCCTCACTTTGATGGGCAACAATATCAATTTCAACATATTGTATTAGTATTTCTCTATCAATAAGTTTCATTACATATATAAAAACAAATATTACACAGAAATCTTCTTGGACAATGGAATACCATAAGCACACCTCTTCGAATCTCAAAACAATGTAGCACTTATAACAATCATCATAAAGTATATAATCACTTCATTTCTTCCTTGCAACATTGACTTATATGACAACACAAAAATCATACTGGAAATCAATGTAACAGATTCAAGCTTCAGATTTTACTTTCTGAATCAATTTCAGACTACGCTTATCTCTACAGGAGAAACATTTCCTATATAAAAAACATAGATTGAATACAAAATACAGTTTGCCATAGAGGTAAGGAGGCCACAATGACAGCTGCAAAAGAGAAGATCACTAGTTCAAACCCAAAAATAGAGAAGGGGATCAGCAATTAAGTAACAGAAAGCTTACAAAATAGACATACAGGAGGATGACAATACTTATGCCACAAACTTACAGGCTCCTTGCGTGAATAAACAGACGGTGTGACACCACCTTCTTCAGTTACAGGCTTCTCCAATTGGATAAGCAAGCAAACTGAAGCAGAAGGAGAGTCCAATGAGAACACTGCACGACGCTCAGATGAAACCGAACCCTGACAGTAGAATAGAATTAATGTTAGACACAGAATTAATCAGACAAGAACACTATGATTGAACTGGTGCATAAAGGAAGCCAGTCATCCTAGAAAATCTAGTAAAATGACCATGTACCCAGCAAAAACAGCAAAATCCAAAAAGGCACTTCCATTCTGATTTTAACTTATGTTATAAGTAAAAGGCCATGTACATCACACGTCTTACAAAAAGGATTTAAAATAGGTACATTTGAGACTTACATCTTGCATCTCAGCTGGTAGCAGCCGAAAATAGAAGTCTTCTGACAATTTCTCTCTTCTCTCACGATTATACAAGCAAATTGTACCATAGAAGGGCTCTACAAGATTGGAAATGACGAATTGGAGAAGCAATGTTATTCCTATGTAACACTAAAGACATCCTAGTTAAATTACACAAGTAGTAAAATTTTCCTGTAAGTGATTTCCACTCACCGACAAAACCAGCTTGAAATGACAAGGACAAAACCTTTACAGAGATCTTCAATCCACTGAATTCATGGAAGGCATCCCACAACAAACGAGATAAATGAACAATATGGGAAAGACAAATTAACGAAAAGTGAGCAAAACAGTAGACAGCAGCAAAAGAGTATCCAAGGCATCAGTGAGTTATATACAGCATAAGCATCAGAACCTGCCAAACAACGATGGAAGGGCTTCTGGTGTCCTTTGCCCAAAGATCATTGACCTCTCATTTTCCCAATCAAATACTGGTTCATATGCAGGCAATGGAGATGCACCAAAATGCTGCACAATAAATAATATGGGCACCAGTAAGGACAATCCACAGCACATTCCATGGTTATATTGTGATATTATCAAGCAGTAAGAAAACCCAATCTGCTTTCTAGAACTAAATGCTTTGGGCAAGTTTTATGGTGAATAATTATCAATTGAAACAATTCACTTTCGTCCAGAATATTTAGAGTATTCAGTGAAAGAAGCAAATTTCATAAAGGATGGGGTGTCTATGAGTCGGCCGACTCATACGTACACATGCGGCCCCCCTCTAAAATTCACCTTAAAGATGGACTTTTTATCCAAAATTTTAGAGATTCATCACCTAAGCCAAGCTGATCATAAATATGGAAAGAAAAAAAAATGAACTTTAAAATGTGCTTTTTTTCGGGATGCTTTTGGCACCGTCCATATCTGATTTGACCCTGTGCGCTTTACAGACGTTAAAGAGTCAGCAGGCTCTTGCACCCGCTGACTCATAGGACACTTTTCCTTTCATAAAAGAAGATCGACATTCTGGAATATAAACATTTTTTATCCATAGATAAGCAAACACTTCTCAATACAAACCATAAATTACATTAGCTTAATGCACACAAAATTGTGAATAGCTTTTGTCAAAATGTGAATGGGGAGATAGACAGTTAGGTCAAGTTGCATGAGGCTGAAACATAAAGGACATGAGCCAAGGAAAATTTTGAGGTAAAGTTGGAATCAGAAAGAACAACTCATGCCTAGATTAGAACTTCATCCTATATACATACAAATGACAAGTATATATTTAAGAATTCAAGGAAACTAAGCTACAGGACAATATAAATTTGCAGCAGGCAAAAACGGTATTCCACAGAATAACACCTTCTGAAGATTTCTTGGGTACACCACTTCTGATGAGCTTGTCTCAGATGACGGCCTTCCAGAGGTACTTGGAATGTCGTCATCATTAGCATCTTCATTCCTTGTGTGCCTCGCATTAGCCAAACGCATTTCTATCGCATAACCATAAGGTAGTATCAAAAGGCAAGTGTAATGCAGTTGAAATAGTGGAAACAAAAGCAGTTAAGGCAGCATAAACAAACATCATTGAAAAGTGAAATTGATAGCACGTCATCACCTGTTTCTATGTCTGTATCTGGCCCTTCAAAAATTTGACTTTGAAACAGTGGAGGTGCAACGCTTTCATAATGCCCATATTTATTCTCATCCTTTACCCAGTCAACCTTATAACTCTGTACCAACTCATTCAAATGTGGCCATTGCTCCAAGCTCTCATTAAGCTGAAAGAATAACTATGCACTTAATATCATGAAAAAAAGTTCCAAAAATATAAGAAAACCATAATAAGAAACAAGAAATATGAATTTCATTTTGGAAACAGAAGAAAGTCATGGATGTGAAGACTAGATTAAATGATTTATTTCATTCCATGGTTGCAAATGAGGGAAAAGTTTGAGGAATTTAATTGGAGGATCTGTTGAGGGTCAAGAAATCTCCTACAGTAAATGGTCAAGCCCAGGCAGAGAGTAAGAAAATTCACAAAGTTAAATTTCTGTAGATCTTTTAGGAACTGAGGTCATGCAGGAGGAAGGGGTTAATTTTGGATGAGCTTCGAGTAATTTAAAAGGTGTTTGGCAAGCTGGTACGTGTGACAGAAGATACAAGCATAGAAGCCAAAGCTTTCCCAACCAGCCTGAAATTCTCGATGGTTTACTTTTTTTATGGAAGAAATCCTTTTGAATGCAATTGTTTAATTAACACAACCGCATTGTAAAATGAGTACCAGCAAGCAAGTTAGAGGAGAACAATAGATATCCAAATCCATGCAAATCTTATTTTAGCACATTATTTGGAAGGCTGATGCAAAGGCTGATCTTGTCGCAATATAGTTAGTTCCGGTGATGTTTCTCCAGCCCAGTAACTAAACCCATGGGATGTATCATTTTGTGCTCCTATTAATTCATCAGTAACTGTTCCTTAGCAAGTGAAATATCTATTGCTCAATCTTTCATTCCCCTATTCTTAAACATATGCTGACTAAAATCTGAAAATCACCCACTATATATGTATAGTCCACACATGAGGCCCACAGCTATATCATCATTTCAGCTCCATTTAAATTTTCAGCAACCTCGATCAGAATTACCCTGCTTTTATGGGTATATTGAACAAAAGCAGCTACGGAAGCTCTCCAGAATATCGCCACAAGGAGTATGTTGAACATTAACTAGAATATATCAAAATACCATACAAGGAATGGCAGAAAACATAATAATAATAATAATATTCATATGTTTCAATCCAGGAATAGATATATTTGACTACTTGTCCATAGGGAGAAAATCATAATCAAAGCTCAGGGAAGACATGGGAATCAATAGCTACCAATGGATCCAACTCCAAATTTGCAGCCAAGGGTAGCCGTGGAATTCTTTTAAACCGCTGTCCACTAGATGTTGATTCTTCCATCACCTAGACCAATACAAGCTCAATTAAACATATCATATTGAAAGGGAGAAAAAACATATGAATGGCAACTGCACATCAAATAAAAATATTTATTTCAGAGAACTTAAACCAAATTATGTTGAAAAAGAGAACTAAAAATAAGATCCTTACTTCTAAATGATAACAAAAACATGCATACTTCTGGTTACAATAAGAAGGTCATAAAGGATAGACTACAACACAAAATATGCCAACAAGTCAAACTAACGTATTCCATATTAAGCACATATTAATGATTGAAAACATCCGTAAGTATCATGACTATGATCTATCTTTTTCTTTTGAATTTTTTTTGCTTTTTTGTGTACCTAAAGTATCGGATGTCTCCTAAGAGCCATCATGACTATGATCTACCAATATACAACAAGAGAACATATTACTCTAAGCATTCCACTTGAATACTGAAGTCGTCAGCCACAACATTACAAGATTCCTTTTGGGGACTGGAAAACTGTGCCAATGCTAGAATTTAGAAGCTTCACAGCAGGGGCTCAAAAACTCGGGCAAGCTATTTCCTGAGACCCAGTCAATAACCAATGAAAAAACAAAGAAAAGAACAAGAGACTCGGCCGAGACCCACTAAGTCCATGTCAATTTCTCTGCTCTGAAAGCTTCAGCATGTCCAGAACCTTTTGTCCAACAAAAACTGAAAGAGCATTCCTTTTCTTTTTACCAATGGCATTAAAAGAGCATTCTTGCAACTGGAAACCGATGTGGTGAACTATCATTTGTTTCAGGTGAAGACCTAGTTCTCATTAAAAAATTTAATTTGTTGCCTCTGAGCTTTAGCAAGCGAGCATAGAAAAAAAGGGGTCTCGCCGCTGTGGCACTCAGCCTTCCTAGCCAATACCTCGCGCATCTAGAAATAAACCAATAAATCAAACTTTCGGAAAGGAAGCCAAGGATTAAGAGATGGTAATGGATAACATCAGACAGGATGCCAGGTTCTACTTAGACCTTTTCTTTTATCATTTAGAAAAACCTAAACTGAAAGAACATTCTCCCAGAAGATATGAAGACATCATGGGCTAATCTTTTGTAAGATCAAAGTGAGAAGCTACAGTTGACACCATTGTTATTAGGCAAGATAACATCAAATTGGAGAAGCCAAAGGGATTCATTGCCAAACAGTAGCTGGTCCTAACACTACTTGAACTTTTTGAATTCTTTACAAAGACTTATTGCCCATCCAAAGAACGGATTCAATCACTACTACAATTTGATACCCCAGAAGTCATGACAGCTGAGCATATAACAAACTAGTCTACCAAAGCATTCTTGCTATAGCCATCTTTTGTTGAAAAGGAGGAGTCTTTCAATTGTTAAAGCACCATAGAAACATTCCTAAGCTCTAAAGACAGCAGAAGTCCCAAAAAAGGAGGAACAAAGAGAATAGTCGCATTGCATTTGGCCCTGCAAGTGAACGGTTAAATGCAGGAAGCTTCTTGGTGACAATAGTGCTCGTTACAAAATGCTCCCAACTAACTAGTAAAAATATGCAAATATGATGAAACTCTGAGACAGGTCTCTCTTGATAAGGCATTTATCATAGCAGCAAAATAAGAATGACCCATTCATATATTGCAGATCTGACGAGCGCACCACAGGAGAATAGCAGAGAACAGTTCAATAGTATCACTCATGATTTAAATCACAAAAAGGAAATAACGTAAAAACCGACCAACCAAGTATAGAGCAGTCGCAGCAGAAAAAATACGAACGCATACTATAAGGATGGCATCTGAAAAAAGGAAAGCAGAGAAAATTTTGCCCTAAATGAGAAGCCGGAGCATACAAGAACAAAAAGCCCACATATTTATATAAGAAATGCAAAGAATGGGTGCAAAAATAAGTACCTCACAAGGTTTGGAGGCTCTGACCACGGGAGATTGTGAGAGGAGGAGGATCACTACGAAAGTTGCAGAGCAGGGAATGTGGGTTCTTGAGTGGAAGCCCTAATATTAAGAATGGGAAGAAGGGCGGCGTTGGCGTCCATTTTCAGGTAAAAGGGGAATGGTGCGAGTGGAGTGAGGGAAGCAGATAGATCATGGAGGAAGGAGGAGGAATGGTGGAATTTTTGTTGAGGGGAATGGGGAAAGAGGATGAAATGGAGGCATCAATTCTTGTGGAGAAAGGAAGTTTGATGGGTGATGGAAATGCAGTAATCCCTTAGAAGAGCAGCAAAGTACACCAATAACCCTACCTCTCTCTCTCTCGAGCGAGGCAGGGGAGTGAGTAAAAGCGAGGTGGGTGTTTTTTGTTGCGGAATCTCCAAGCGCCCACGTGGTCTCAATCGAGTCTTGTTGTTTCGATTGAGAGAGACTCGGAACAAAGTCTGATAAGGATGAGAGAGAGCAGAGCAGAGCAGAGTGTCAGTGGACAGCTCCTACTGGCCCGATCTTTACTCCTTATTTCTCTTACTAGCCCCTCGTGGCCCGATCTTTACTACCTATTTCTCTCTCTATCCTCAATTAATATCCTCTCTCACTTACTATTTCTCTCTCTACCCTCAATTAATATCCTCTCTCTTACCC